CCCTGTCCAACTGGAAGCCATTCCACTAGCGAAAGGCACCCTTGAAATTCGTATCCATACAAACCTCTAGGATGCGCGTCTCTTATTTCACCTGCTTTCCAGAGAGAACCAGGAATCGGCATAGTCCCTAGGCTGCGTGAAGCCTGCTGTATGTGTCGGTGCCGTAGAAGCAGGCAGGTTTAAAAGAAGCTGGACGTACCTCTCAGTCCTGCGCTCCGTCTCCTCTCCACGGGGAGCTGACCTGCCGCAGGTGTGTGGCATCGGCCCGGGGGGCACGAGTCGCCGCAAGGGGCTCCCGCTGGCCGTGTGGGGGCGACGGGAGGGGGGGGTGGGGGGAGAGACCCCCCGTTGTTCCCACGTCCTCCAAACCCCAAATTCTGAAGGGGGCTGCCGGCGCGAGGCTTCCTTTTCTAGCTGGGCCAGCTCTGGGAGACGACACTTTTCTTTTACCTTATATGAGGCGGGAGGCAGGCCGAGCAGAGAGAGGGGCATGTTTTGGAAATCCCACCGAGGCGCGTGATTGGCTAGCGCCGGGCCCCCTGTGACCTCGGGCTGTGACCTGCGGTGTCTGGGAAAGAGAAGGGAAGGGGGCGGGGGGAGAGGCCGGGCCGCTCTGCCTTTGTAAAGGAAGCTGCCTTTGACAATTTTCATATTTCTTCTAAATTTGGAGATTTCTGCCCGTGCTGGAGGCTTGGCTGATGACTCCAGATGTCCATGTGGAAACCATTAAAAACAGAGGGCTGCCTGCCACTCCTGGCAGCGCCGGGCCTGGGAACATGAGAGCAGCGCTCAGACACCGTTATTCTGAATAATTCACTTCCTCTCCCAGTCCTGACTGTCCCCATATGGGAAAGCGCTCGCCTGAAGGAAGGTCGGGAGCGAACGGCATACGAGGAAAAAAAAAAGAAAGGAGAGAGGGGAAAAAAATAGAGGAGGTGGAGAGAGAGTGTTTATTCTAAAAGGAGGAGGAGGGGGAGTGAGGCGAAAGAGGTGGAAAGGGGGGGTTTAGTGTGTAGGAAATCTCTGGGCGCACGCCACAGACAGGGCCCTTTGAGTTCTAGGGGTAACACACAATGGGGCTTGAGTTTTCTTGTAAAAAGTCATATCTTATCTTACAGTGGAAATCTGAGAGATACCCTAACAGGTTACTTCGGCTTGTGAAATGTATAGAATTGGGAAGGTTGTGCGTTTGTCTACGAGGAGACGGGAGTCTCACCCTCCCTCTGAGAAAGAGAAGTGTGGCAGTGAGACGGACAGCTGGCATCTCCGAAGGAGTGCAGCCACAGGCAGCCTGTGAAAAGACCTGAAAGGGGAAAACTGAAGCGTGGATTGGCCCCCATGACCCAGCTAAAAGCTAAGCTCAGAAACACCTGTATTTTTCACAGCCTGCTCCTTGCTCTTGAACAGTTCGAATCAAAGGCTTCAAGAGAGCAATGCAGAGCGGAGGAAAACAGTTTTAAGGGAAATTCCCCTTGCACTGCCCTCTTTCCGGCCACAGGGCTCCTGGACTCTGTTCCCAGAGCCTCTGGGTCTCCCTCCACTGCGCCGGCTCAGTGCATCTGCCCGTGTCTGAACCCCCCTTCGCTCTCACAACACACAAACCTTCATGGGGCCCATGGGGCTCCGTTCTTTGAAAATCTATTGGGTAAACACTGATCCGCATTCCAGTTAAATGGTGCGTCTTGGAATCGTGTTCCACGATGAACAGGCCTTCTTGTTTTATTGATCTCCCTGCCGAGCGCATGAAGGACAGGTCCAGGGCACGTCTGCCCCCTTTTGTACGTTCTAAAGGTTCTCTCTTCCACACACATTTAAGGAAGTTGATGCCAGTTGGTACGGCGCTCCGGACGGGACGGTCCTTGTTTAATCCGCACGTCTCCCATTCAGAACCATCATGTTAACGTTACCCCTAAGCGAATGTGAGAGATACAAACGAGCTATGGCTCTTGCAGGGGCTTCTGCAGCTGCTGAGCTCCTAATGTGGTTTATTAACTCTCGTTTCACTGCACCGGTTAAACCATCTTCCTGAGGCCATGAAGACAACTGGGGTTCGCCTGGCGAACTGGGGTGACCGGCTCGGGAGTGGGGTGACCATGGTTTTTTTTTTGCGGGGTCACCCTTTCCCATCGCCCCGTAGAGGACCACGTTTGAGAAACACCGGTTTCGAAAGCGAAGACCGACTTCGCTTTGGAAGTACTGAGCGGGACTGGTCAGAAGGAAGGCCAGCGGAGGGGAGGCAGAGAGGAAGACTCACTGTCCCATCGGTCACTTCCAGCACGAACCCTCCCCCCCCCGTCCCCGGGACTCACACCGTCCTGGGACAGGGATGGAGGTGCTGGTGATCCGAGGCACTGCGTGTCCCTTGGAGGAGCGCTCTCAGACAAATTGCCATGAGAACCTAAATTTAGACAAGCAGGAGTGTATGTGTGGGGGGGAGGAGATCTGGGAAAGAGCACGAGACTGTAAAAGAAATGTAATGCGATTGTTAGGCAGGCTGCGTTCGTGAGCTCAGTGAACTGCTACACAGGTCATTCCTCTCCAAATCCGAGAAGCCTTAAAAAGGCAATGTTTGAGGAAGATTCCTCTGTTTACATCTCAAATAACTGCGGCTATAAAAAAACTCAGCCAACTCCTGCCTCTCAGCATGCCAGCTCACTGCTCTTATAACCAGGCAGTTTTATGTATATATTTAATTGCTGACTTCATACATGTTAAATTTCTTGTTCCTATGGAAAAGGCTTCTTTATTTTCAACTGCACTGGTTTTGCATGCAGCACGGTCCTCTCTGTCCACACACTACAGCATCTGCAAGGCAATTTCTCTCCCCGCGCTGTGATTTGATGCCACATACTTAAATGGAAAAATAATAATTTAAAACACTTAAATTTTTAAGCTACATCTGGTTACACATGGGAGGCGGCAGGCTCTGTGTCAGACTGAGAACTGTGATTTTAACCAGCATCATACAAACTGCTTTTCACATACAGTGGAGTTCTAGAAGAATTCTTCAATTTTATTTTCCCCAGGGATGATTTTTGTGTCATCGCCCAAGTCTGGATTTTCAAATCGTTTGTCAAAATGAGCCTTTTTGGCACCTTGTTCACACAACAAACCAATTCACTTAAACTAATATTTAGTTCAAACAGGCAATCAAGAGGATGAGTGGCATGACAGCTCTGGAGGTCTGGTCGTGCACCGCTGTTTTTTAAAGTTCCTCATTAACCAAAAACAGAGACTGCCCCCACCCCCAGAAGACCCACCTAGTAAACTCTTCAAATTGAGCCC